CTTCTACTAACTACATGCAGGCTCTGCTCTAAACACTTGACAAACACAAGCTCTGATTGCCTAGCAACTCCAGCCACATCTGGTCATATGTATGAGGCAGACACTGGCCATATCTGTATTTTATACAGGACTCTGAGCCACAGAGAGGCAAAGTAATTTCCCCAGCTAAAAGTAGCAGAAGAGCCGGAATCATACCAAGGAAGCTTATCCCTACCCACCACGCAGGTCTAATCATTTACATTAGATTCTAATACCCACAGGAGCTTGGCAGGTGGTCACAAGCCTGGATGCTGGTGATTCCTTTGTTTTTCCAGGGAAGCAAGCAAGCAAATGGATACTCCAGACACTGATTGGTGGAGAGAACTGTGCTAACCCTCCCTGGGATACCCCATTTCCCTGCCTCCCCAGGCACAGCCAAAGAGTCAGTCCACCTCTCCTTAGCCTCCCATATCCCCAGGGCACCCCAGACATCTGCTCTGCCAGCTGTGGGTTCAAGCCCAACCTGTGCACTTGGCCTCAGATTGCCTCAATGTCCTGCCCTTCAGGACCCCCTGCTTTCTGTCTCCAGTGTTTCTGCTGGCATTTTCACTGAAGATGGGGACTCATCACACCTTTTTAGGGCAGGGGGCTGACATTTAACTTGCTGAGAGCTCACACGGGCTTCATTAAAAAGGACAATAAGCCAAGGGATTTTTTAAAGCCAGTGGTGACTAGTGGGCTAGTTAGGCACAAAAGTTCTTTTGTCATTCAGGCCAAGGTGAACACAAGCACCTCCAACTGATGGGCTAGCGGCCAATTAAGTTAAATATCTGCTTGAAAAGCCGAACACTTCAAACACTCGCCAGCTGCAACAGGATGGAACTGGGAGCTTTGATTGAATGGGCGCAGCAGATGAAATATTTACCGAGATCAGCAGAAATAAATGCATGGATTTTCTTTTCTTTTTTCTTCAGAGGAAATGCACATATGGCTGTTTGAAACCCACCCACCCAGTGAATGCTCACTGCCACTGAGCTGGAGAGAGCATGATCGCTGAAAGCAGGGAAGAGAGCTTTGTAAGGGGAAAGGAGAGCAGCACCTGCCCGCATACCCAGCCGCAGCTCCAATGGAGCAGAGGGAACTAACGCCATGAGCGGGGTCCCAGGGAGAGCCCCGATAAGCACAGGATGATTAATTGTCTTTTTAATGTATTTACACTCCAAATATTTCATAGGACATGTTCACATTAAAACTGTGTCTTTTTATCTGAAATTCAGATATAATTAGGCATGGTGTTGTTTTAGTTGCTAAACACAATGCCCTTAAATCCAAGAAGTGATAAGAACCCCCGATGACCCCAAGAGTGGAGAAGTGACCAGTAGAAGAGATTCCTCAGGGCCAAGGCTGGTGCTCAGTTGGGGAAGTCTTTGCCCAGCTGCCTGAGCTTGTAGGTTTGATCTCCCAGCACTGTGTATAGGCACACAGCAACAATCAGCACTACTCAGGAGGTGGGAGCAGGAAGGTCAAGGGTTCAAGATCATACGCAGCTACACAGGGACTTGAAGACTAGCCTGGGATCTGAGTCCAGGTCACAAAAACCAGAATGCTCTCCTACAGTGGTTCAGGTATGAAGGGGAGTTGGATGGAAATTCAAGCCTGTGTTTTTTAACTGCAGGAGGCTTATCAATGAAGTCATAAAGCACAGGGTTCTCAGCCACTGGCTGTGTGCTACAGGTAGAATAGCCATTGTTGGCATGGAAAAAGCCCATGGGGAACAAATGACACACAGCGGGCTCTCTGAATTCTTTTCTGCAAATGGAAGAGAGCCAGTAGGTCATAGCGGGTCACCACTCATGCGGACCTACTATGTGTCAAGCACTTGACAACCAAGTCACCAAAGCCTCACAAGAGCCCTTGGAAACAGGCATGATGAATGTCTTCTCATGGGTACAGAAACTGAAGGTCGGCGGTTAACCAGGTTACCTAACAAGATTCTCATACCTGCTAGAAGAGGAACTGGGTCCACATCCAGCGCCCTTTTCAGGGCCCCATTCTATCCCTGTCATTTGATTCTAGGCAGGTAGGATCTTGCCAGAACTGCAGGTGATCCCATTTGCCATGGGACTGGGTTCTGCTTAAGTCTCCCTCCTCTTGTGGTAAAGCATCGGCTGTGATTACTGGGAGATTTTTCTCTTCTTGTAGGCACACATCTGTGGTCATGATGAAGTCAGTAGAAAAGGTTTCCTATTTCAGAAACACTTTGTCAGCCCTGGGATATCTCGTTTTGCATAAAACAACAGATCACTGTGAAGGTTTTTTTTTTTTTTAAATAATACATAATCCCATGAGAAAACCTGGCAAGGAGGTGAGGTGAGCCCTGTGGAGGCTTTAGGGGGCATCTGCCGTCCTCCATCTCAGCATCAGCAGCGTTTTTCTTAACTGAAATAGAAAGGCCCTGTTGTTCTTTTCCCTTTGGGGTCTGACTGGTGAGGCCAGAAAATAAAACAGAGGCAGGAAGGCTGCCATGCTGGTGCAAGAAGCTCCCTTAGAGGCAGCACTTAGAAAGGGCTAAGGTCTGACTGTGTCCCCAAATCCGTATGTTAAAAACCTAATCCCTAAATCCATGGCTGGTAGAGTGCTGGCCTCCCATGCAAGATGCTCGAGAATCCCTCCCCGGGGCTGTCAAGGAAGGAAGCAAGCAAACAAACAAAAATCAACCCCACAGCAAAAACACCAAAACATCTCACTTAATCCCCAAATTCATGTTTTAAGACTACTTCTTGTTTTCCAAAAAAAAAAAAAAAAAATTAGGAATTAAAAAAAAAATAACTCTAGAGTGGTGGTTCTCAACCTGGGCCTCGACCCATTTGAGGGTCAAATGATTCCTATCCTTTCGAAGGGGTCACATGTCAGATAATCTGCACCTTGGGTACTTACATTATGATTCACAGCAGTAGCAAAGTTACAGTTACGAAGTAGCAACAAGAATAAATTTATGACTGGGGCAGTCACCACAGCATAAGGAACTATCTATTAAGGGGTCGAGGATTTAGGAAGGTTGAGAACCAATGCTATAGGGGCTGGAGAGATGGTCCAGTGGTTAAGAGCACTGGCTGCTCCTGCAGAGGACCCAGGTTCAATTCCCAGCACCCACATGGTGACATAAACTTCAGTTCCCGGGGATCCATGGGGGGGGAGCTCTTTGGGAGATGATCAGAGTTAGATTCGATCATGCGGCTGGGGTCCCATGATTACAATGATGACGAGGGGGAGAACTCTGAGTTGACCCCTTGGTTTGTTCCACCACGTGACTTTTGTCACAGCTCAGAAGGAGGGCTCTTATCAGATTCCAGGAGACGTCAGCACCCATGCTTGCACTTTCTGTCCTCCAGAATCAGGAGCCCAACTTCCGTTCCTCATAAATTACCTGGGCCGTGCAAGTCAGTGGGAGTATCATAACTGGCTGAGGACAGCAGTCATGCCTTTTTAGGCTGGCCACAGGGATCCTAGCTGAAACTCCAGAAATGAAGTCCCCTCTTTGCGTGGAGCCACAATATGGGGGAAATACCACCCAAAGTTACATTTCACAGAACTGAAGGCAATGGGGAGTCTTAGCTAAATACTCAAGGAAAGTGTCATGGAATTGTGGCTGCTGTTGCAATACTTTGTTTTGAGACAGGATCTCACTACACAGCCCTGTCTGGCATGGAACTTACTATGCAGACCAGGCTGGTCTTGAAATCATAGAAATCCACCTGCCTCTGCCTCCTGTGTGCCCCAATGGGGCCTGTAATGGGAGTTAATCTGGCATGGCACTGCACTCTTGTAATCCCATCTCTCAGCCAGGGGGAAACAAAAGTTTGAGACCAGCCTGGGCTTCCTATGAGGTCCTGGCTAGTCTGGACTACAGAATAAGAGCCTGTCTTCTTTTTTTTTTAAAAAAAAAAAATTCACATATAAATCCAAACTAAGCATCAAAAAGAAAGATAGCCATTACTCACTTTCCCCTAGCTACAAAGTGTAAAATATCTCCATGAGGAGAGCTAGGCATGCATTTTTCAGTTTCTCCATTCCTAAGAGAACTTTACTTCCAATATTTTTAATGGATAAAAAAGTACTTAGAAGCTGGATGGCTCAGCAGCTCAGAGCACTGACTGCTCTTGCAGAGGACCCAGGTTCAATTCCCAGTGCCCACACGGCAGCTCACGGCTTATTTATAACTCCAGTTTCAGGGGATCCGATGTCCTCTTCTGACTTCCATGGGTACCACACGTGAACAAACTTTGAGGCAAGTCCTCCTCGTCCACATAAAATAAAAATAAATCCCCATAAAAGACACCCTACTATTGGGCAAATCCTACCTAGATCCTTTAACCACTCCCATTGTTTGTGATGAAATACACAAAACATAACATGTGCCGTCTTAACCAGTTTTACGGTGCAGGGCAGAGGTCTTAAATCCACGGATCCCACGTGGTCCTCAGCAGCCAGTACCAGCTGTAGTTGTGGAGAACACAAAGAGACATGTTCATCCCCTGCCTCTGACAATGCCAACCCCTTAGGGAGACTGGGCTGCTCCGGTGGCTCCATTGCACACTGGGGGTACCCTGTCTCTCTGGTCCAGTTCACTATGATCTGTCTGGAAGTGTCACGCTCCTTCAGGGAAGCCATTCCAGCCCTTACACAGAGGAAGTCACACTGGCTGGTCCCACAACCATTCCTCCCAAGGGCCTTTCTTCTTCGACACAGCTTGTTCTCAGGTCCCAGGAGAATCGGCAGACTTCCTGGGATCCCTTCCCCTGGCAGAAGGCTGGGCGGTGCTGGCTCGGGACCCTGGGATCTGCCGGCACTTGTTTTATTCTCCAGCTTGTGTGTGAGTGTCAGAGGCAGAGCTGTTTACAGGGCTGTGGCCCCCAGAGGCTTGTTTGCACAGGGCTCTTACCTAAGCCCTGTTGGTTACAAGCCCAGAGGCCTCTAGAGCCCTCCCAGACCTCCCCGGCAAGGGTGTAATTAGGGAGGGAGAACAGTTGCCTGAGTGGTTTGCTAGCTTCCAACAAACAAGTCTCCTGTCTCACCGCTAAGCCTCTCCCTTGCTGATGGTTGGCTTCTTAAGCCTGAGGTCTCCGATGGGGTGAGTTTCTCTGGTTTTTGTGTGGAAGGCCGTGGTCTAGAGTGCCCCCTTAGCGTGGTCTCAGGCCTCACCCAAAGACATGCACTGTACTATGAAGCCTGGGTCTACCAGAACCTTCTTTTTCCTATCCTGGTGTGTGAAGAAAGCTGAGTCTCCTTCATATCTGCACTTGTTTTACAGGAAGTCTGGAGCCTAAACTATGTGACCAACGCTGGTTTGGGGGGGGGTTGAAAGGGATGCTCATTATATAGCTCAGGTTGACCTGGAATTTGCAATCCTCCTGTCTCAGCCTCCCAAGTTCTGGGATAGCAGATGTACACCTCCATGACAGCTCTTGCATAATCTGATACACATACATCATGTTGCCAGACAACAGTTGAGCACAGAGTATTCTCTAGGGTGGGGACAGGCATGAGTAATAATGTTCATAAATGAAATTCAATACATGACGTTAAAATGTTCTCTGTACAAGTGGTGGTAACTGCGCTGGTAGGGGTTAGGATCGTCCGGATGACAGTAATGACAGGTGTTAATAATGCCTGTGATGACGGTGTGATGTCAGAGATGGTGGGATGCAGGTGGTATGAGGAACCAATCAAAGATGGTGATGAAGAGGAAGGAAGAGGGGCTGTGTAGGGAGGGGCATGTTGTCATTAGTGCAACCTGGTCGGTAGCGCTTATCAACTTGAAAGATCCCCCAACAGCCTCTCCTCCCACTGACTCCCCATGAACAGAATGTAGCCGCATTGGAAACCGTGTGGTTTCTGGAGATAATGGTGGGGTCTGGAATGAGGAAATTCAGGGACTTCTCACAGAGCTTCCTGAGAGCACACCTGTGCTGGTTTGTGCCTACCATTTGTAGCTCGCTTTGGTATTCTTAACACAACAGGAGGGAAAAATCCAAAACAAAACAACAACAACAAACACCAACACAAAGAGAATTGAAGATCCTTGTTGTACCTGAACCTGCTTGAGGATAAAAGTGGGGGGGGGGGGAGATCAAGTTTCAAGCTTCTATTTCTGGGTAACCTGGATTCCTTGAGCCGGCTTTTCCTCATCTCCAAGATGGGCATATTACCTTGACTTGAGTAGCCAGGGCAGGTCAGAGACAGGGTCTGACATGCCACCATTTTGAACAGCTTCGTTGCAGCGTGTACCACACCCAATACAAGGTCCACGTGAGACCCTGCTGCCTGGGACAGTTTTGAATATTCATGTCTCCAGTGCTCACTTCTTGCCCTGAGTGATTTTCATGAGCTCCAGGACTGCTTACTAAGTACACAGTTTTGCAGGCTGGGGAGGTGGCCCAGTGGTTAGGGGAGCATACTGTTACTGCAAAGGACAGGGTTTGGTTCCCAGTGCCCACATAAGGAGCTCACAACTGCCTGAAACTCCAGCTCCAGGGGAGCCGATTCTCCTTTGACCTACACACACGCACATGCGCACACACACGCACACATATACACACAACACGCACGCGCACACACACATGCACACACGAATAGAAAAAATTAAAGACTCTCATGGGGAAGTGGAGAAATGGTTCAAGGTTGAAGAATACTTGACTTTGATTCCCAGCACCTACGTCAGGAGGCTAACAGTCACTTGTAATTCCAGTTCCCCAAGATCCAACACCCTCCTCTGGTCTCCATAGGTACACCCCACCCCGACACATACACACACACACACACACATACACACACATTCACAATAGATAATAAAAAACACAAAATCTTTTTCAAAAGGAGCGTTTTTATTTCTAGCACTTAGGAAACCAAAGGCTTAGGTATAAAAACAACTGAAGAAAGGAAGAGTAGGAGAAAGAGGGGAAAGGAAGGGAGGGGAGGGAGGGACAGAGAGAGAGAGATTCAATTGTTTGCTTTCCTACGAAACGAATGTATATTTCAGTGGACTTCACTGTGCAAAATGATTCTATCTATATTCTTTTTCAGACAGTCAGAATGCTTTCTTTAATATCTGGTCCCAATTCTTTGCTTATACCAATCCATCACCCCTATGTATGCTGTCTGGGACCAGAATAAAAAACATCTAGATTCCACTACTTGAATTTGGTCCTCTCTAATAATATTTATGAACCATGGCTATGGCTTCATGTGGTCATTTGTATGCGCATTCCATGTTTCTTTATAAGCAGGTCCTATTTAAATCACCTATTTACTCCACTGAAATCTTTCCAATCGGGTTTAGCCTTAAGATGAGGAGATGTTCCTAAGCAGCTTGTGACCAGAGAGAATCCAGAAGAGGCACAGGGATGTGTATTTGAGCAATTCCCACCCTCAGATTTTAGATTTCAGAGGCACAGCGGCACAGGACAGCTGGCGTGAGAAAGCAAGAAGCGGAGGGTTTCTCTTTCCTAGGTTTCCATCACCGTCAGGCTCCCCTTCCTGAGGTGGAGACAGGAAGCCTTGTAACGGGGCCTTCAGTGACGTGCACACCAAAGACAGCTGAGGGCATGCACCAGAGACAGAACTGCCTTTCCCAGTCAGAAGGCTGTCCCGCGCCCCTGCTCCTCAGACTTCCGGTTCTGGGTTGACAGAGGAGCAAAAGGATTGAAGGGCAACACTTGCTCTCCCACCCTTACATGCTTAGACATTGAATAGTTTCACGTCTCATTCGATTACTATTCTTACTCTTTTGTAGAATGAGAAGCCAGTTCATGACAATGAAGACAATTCCATACATTTCTGGGGTATTTGTGGTTTGTGATGTTATCTTCTCTCTCTCTCTCTCTCTCTCTCTCTCTCTTCCTCTCTCCCTCTCTTTTGATAGGCATACCATATCTTACCATTAGCATTGAAGAGAGGTCCAGAGATTTATAAACAGGTAAAGAGATACCTTCTTGGAGTTTTTCTAAGACCGCGCGTAGGATCTGTTTCTTACCAGGATTCCTCACAGCTCCAGCCTCGTGCCAGGCTTTGAACACTGCAGATCAATAGCTAAAGCACTGACTTCATTAAGGGGCTGGGGTAAGAACTCATGTGGTCAAATAAGCACGAGGACTGAGTTTGAGTCCTCAGAACCCACATAAAAAGCTGGGCATGGTGGCGTGTGACTATAACCGCAGATCTGGGGAGGCGAGAAGTGCATGGATCCCTGGGCCTGGCTAGCCACCCAACCTAGACCTGCTTGGTGAACGTTAGACCAGTGACCGAAATAGTCTTTAAAAAAAAGAAAAAAAGAAAAAAAAGGAATCAAGGTCTACAGCAAGTGAGGAAAGATACCCAAAGTTGCAAAGTTGTCCTCTGTAAGCATGCACACACACACACCTACATACACATAAGGGGGGCATTTTCCTCATTATAGTATCAGTTAAGTGTTTGGAAAAAGTAGGAAACATTCATGTAGGGTATTTAAATCTACCCTACAATTATGGCTTTGTTTCTGGCCACGGTTCACTAACACAGCTCTTCATTTCTCAGTTTTATTTGTGTCTTTGTTACTTTGCTATTGCTGGAACAAAACACCATGGCCAAAGAAACTACTTAAAAAAGAGTTGAATTGGGCGGATAGCTCCTGAGGGTCTGTGCCTATGATGGTGGAGAGAAGGAATTGATGCAGACAGCTGGAGCAGCGGCTGAGCGCTCACACCCTGATCCCAAAGCAGGAGGCAGAGAGCTAACTGGGAATGCTGTGGGCTTTGGAAACCTCAAAGCCTGCCGGCCCCCAGTGACACGCCTCTTCTAGTGAGGCCACACCTCCTAACCGGTCTCTACCAGTTCCACCAGCTGGGGACTCAGGATTCGAACATAAGAATCTGTGAGGGTCGTGTTCATTCAAACCACTGTATTTTGCAATGCTAAATATCACGTTTTCATGTTATAAAGTATAATGATTAATCAGTCAATTTCGTGGGTTCATCATGCAGGTAAGGACTTTCCATAGGGACTTGACAGGCAAGAAAGAGAGGAGTGGTCACTCTCTACTTAGGTGAAGCCTAGGCCATGAATGTAGCTCTCCCAATCAACTGGGGTTTTATAGGGCTGATCAATGATAGTGGGTAAAGGCACTTGCTGTCAAGAGTGACAACTGAGATTTGAGCCCTAGATCCACACAGTGGAAGCAAAGAGTTGGCTCCTGCAACTGGTGACCACCACGTGTACATCATGGCGTCCTCATGCCCCGTCCCACCATATATACAATAAATATGCTGGAAGGTTGTGAAAAGGTAGGAGGTAGAGTTTAACTGGTGGAAGTCAGTCTTAAGTGTAACATGAAGGGCTGGCTTGTTGGGGTTTCTGTCCCGCCCGATACCCCACAGCCAGCAAGCCCCAAAGAAAATCACACAGAGATCTCCATAAGTTATAAAACTGATTGGCCCATTAGCTCAGGCTACTTATTAGCTCTTATAACTTATGCTAGCCCATTTTTTTATATATGTTAGCCACACGGCTCATACCTTTCACGGTCAGCAGGTTACATGTTGCTTCTCGGTGGTCTGGGCAGGAATGGAGGAATGGGCTTCCTCCTTCCTAGAATTCTCCTGTTCTCATCGCCCTGCCTCTACTTCCTGTCTGGTTGACCCGCCTATACTTCCTGCCTGGTCAATAAGCGTTTATTTAAAACATGATTGACAGAATACAGAAAATTCTCCCGCACCACTCAAGTGTGTGTCCTCTGGTCCCTCTCTGCTTCCTGACGTACCAGAGTGTGGACAGCCTGCACCTCAGACTACTCTCGCTATAACTCGAGATGTTTCCCCACACGTTCTCTGCCATGATAGTTTGACGGTCTTTGAAAAATAATGAGAAAAATTAAGCCTTCCTTTCTTTAAGTTGCTTCTGTCAAGTACCATGACCTCAGTGACAGGAAAGTAATTATGTGTGTATTAGGTATATAGCCAACATTTTCTTTATCCATTCTTCTGTTGATAGGAACCTTGTTTAATGTCTTGACTGTTGTGGATGGTGGGGCAATAAACATAGGAACACAAGGACTTTTTTGCTATGCTGATTGCATTTCCTTTGGCTATATCTCCAGTAGGAGTTCCTGGGTCATTTTTGTTTATTTATTTTTCCAGAAGCCTCCATACTGGTCTCCAGAGATGGTTATATTGACTTACATTCCCTTCAGCCACGTATAAAAGCCCTCTTTTCTGCCTTCTTGCCTGATTCGTTATGTACTGCTAGTGTGATAATTATTCTGACAGGGGCGAGATGCTGCCTCACTGTGGCTTTGATTTGTCGAAATCCTTGCATTTGCAACAAGGAGGCAGCACCAGAGGACATTGTGCTAAGTGAAATAAGGCAGAAGGACAGATGCTACTGTTCTCATCCGTGCACGGAAGCTATAAAGGTACATCTGGAAGGAAGAGCATAAAATGTGATTATAAAAGACCAAGCAGGAGGAGGAGGAGGGAATGGAGAGGGCCGTTGGGTAGTGGGTACCAGAATGCAGGCCAATTAAAAGAATTTGTTCTAGGGTTCTATAGCAAGATAGGGCAAGTGTAACTGGCAACTCAGGATACACTTGAAAACACGGAGAAAGGTGTTCAAGGTTTCCAAACATAAAGCAGAGGTGAATGGTCAAGGAGATGGAAATGCTGATCACCCAAAACTGCTCCTTTCCTACAGTGTGCCTCAAATTATCATGTCGAGTATAATTTGACATCTGTCAATTAAAAACAGAATGTTCACGTCTTCACTGGGCCTTGGTTCTATCTAAAGCTCACAGAGAGAAAATACGAAAGGAAAATAAAAGGAAGCAATCTAGATTCTAAGTGACTTGCAGGTCCCTGGCCTTGCTGCTTCCACCTCCACTTATTTATTATGCATTCCTTGAATAAATATTTCATTGAGCACTTACCATGAACCACTTGGTGCTGAGCCTTGGGGCACACCAGTGGACAAGACAGGCTCATTCCGACATCATGAAGCATATAGTCCTGTGGGGGTACAAACAGGACCCTGGAGATTACAAGCAAGAGATCGATGCTGTAGGAGGAAAGGCAGGCTACTAGACACACACTCCCCGTGAGCATCTAGCCAGCCAGGACTAAGACGCCCTTGCCAGGAAGCTCTACTTGAATCTAAGGCCCATTGTTTTTGCATGGACTGTGAATCTATTCAGAGAGCCTGTAGGGCGGTGCTGAGGGCATGGCCCTATTAGCCCTTGGCACACGGAGGGCATTCGGGAGCCATTGCTTAACATGTACACTTGCTTCTGCATGAAACATCTTCCCTCCTTTCTCAGATGAATTTAGCACCCTGCATCACCCCAGCTTCTGCTGTGTTGATGGCTCACTAGAGACTCTACGTGAGTGCATTGCCACACCCACTGATAATCCCCTAACATCCTATGCACGCTTTTGCTCAAATATGTCCCTCATTGGGTTTGGAGCACTTCCAGTTCAGGGCCTGTTTAACTGACCTGTTTTCTTTGCACCAAGCTGATAGCGGTGATATCATAAGTGCAGGATAAATGTTTACTAATTGCACACATGAGTGAATGCCCAGCCTTCGATACCTGACTGCCAAGAAGGTGGACAGCAGTATATATATATATATATATATATATATATCTTTACTCATATATATAAACGAAACCCTTTGCAAATGACTAGGTCCAACTCAACCCGCACCCCTTTCCCAGCACATTCACTCCTGTGGGATATGCATTGTGTGCTCATTGTATGAAGAGAAAATGTGCACACATGTTGTCTGGACTTTATCCTCCTGTACAAAGAAAAGGTCCCAGAGTTATTAATGGTGTCACTTCCAACCCTAACAGAGAGGTAGGCATTTGGGCTGGGGATGGACTTTCTAGGAAAGTTCCTATTTAAAAGCTGTTCTGAAGGCTGGAGAGATGACTCCACAGTCAAGAGCTCCTATGGATCTTGCAGAAGACCAGGGTTCAATTCCCAGCAACTGTGTGAGGTGTCTCACAAACACCTGTAACTCTAGCTCCAGGAGTTCCAGCACCCTCATCTGGACTCCAAGAACACCTGTACTCATGCGTACAAACACCCTCACACAGACACACAAATGCACATAATTGAAAATAGTAAAAATAAATCTTAAAAAAATGGGGTGAGTTACAGTAACACAAGCCTCTAATTTGGGTAATTTGGGATGCAGAAGCAGGTGGATCTCTGTGAGTTCGAGGCCAGCCTAATCTACACAGAGTTTCTGACCAACCAGAGCTACATAGTAAGACCCTGTCTCAAATAAACAAAAGGAAGCCTCAAAACAAAGACTTTCAATTGCCAAGCTAGCACCCAACAGGGCTAGGGTGAGGCTAAGATGAGGTCAAACCAACGGGAATCAGATGTTGACTTTATGTGCGCTTTGGTTCATTTCTTTTTTTCTAAGGATGGGGTGTTTTGCCTGCATGTATGACTGAGCACCACGTGCATGCCCGGTGCTGGCGGAGGTCAGAGAGGGTGTCGGTTCCCCTGGACGGGAGTTACAGAGGTTTTGAGCTGCCACGTGGGTGCTGGAAATTTAACCCAGGTCCTCTGCAAGAGCAGCACACACCTTTAAGCACTGCTGAGCCATCGTCTCCAGCCCTCAGGTATTATTTGTTTGTTTACATCGTATTATTTACATTTTTTACACTGCATGATTTTTTTAAAACGCTCATATGGTCCCTCCAGATGATTTATTTGACAATTGGAGGAAGAAGGCAGGAGAGATCTGTAGAAGATTAAAATGTTTCCCACAGGACAACAGTCAGGGGGCCTGTTCTTTCCTGGCCAGGTTACAGAACTTCAGAGCAGGCACTGGAAAGTTTCTCCCACCATGCAGCAGGCTTGTCCAGAAAGATCTGCAGTCTTTTAACTCCACAATGATGCAGAAGTGCGTCCCACTCAGGAGAAGCCATTCTTGAATTTCTGGTCCTTGGTCTCTTAAAGGTGGTTGATTGGATGGCCCCACCGTATTCCGCAGAGCTGAGCAGAGGTAACACAGCAGAGTTACCAGCTAGTCCGGAGACTACAAGTGAGATCTAAGCCAGAATCGGGAAGGATAGGTGTGGTGAGGTGTGGGTGATTATTGTCAACATACTATGTGGTTTTTCTGTTTGTTTGCTTTTGTGGAGTGGAATACAACCCTATCATAAGTCAGGGAAGACCTATTTAAATTGCCTTAAAATACAATTATTTATTTAGATTACTAAGTTCCCCGCCCCCCCACACACACACTCCCCACTCCCAGTCCTGGTAGCTCTGTGGGGTCTGATTGTTAGCACACACAGTACAGGAGACACTCAGTCCGCCCTCCAATAGGGAGAGTTCTCTGTATCAGCAGTCACTTGGGCTCAGCTGCCCAGCTGAAGGGGTCCCTGCTTGCTGGGTTTCTTCCCTTCCCATCTTGGCTGTCCTTTCCCTTCAGCGGTTGAGCTGTCTGCACTGTACTCTCCCTGGGGTCTTTATGCGGTGTATATCTCATGGGGGTTTTGTGTTCTCAATCATCTGGGCTGTTTCAACCTCCTGGCCCCTCTGCCCATGACAAGCCTGTTTTATCGTGGGAGAAACTCTTCAGTACCTGGGCAGGAAGGGACAGGCCCCCTGACTGTTGTCCTGTGGAAAACAGATTTCATCTTCTACAGATCTCTCCTGCCTCCTTCCTCCAAGTGCCAGCCTCACAGACAGGCTACAGAACCAGAACACGGGAGCTTTGCCTGGAAGACTATAAAGGTCACATCCACCCGCTTTTATGTCCAAACTAATCCAAGACCTTTTTTTTTTGTTTTGATTTGGTTTGGGTTTTGCCTTATTTGCATTTATTTACTTTTATGCCTATGTGTGTGAGCCTACGTACATGGGGGAGCGTGCAAAGGCCGGAAGAGAGTGTTTGGTCCCCTGGGATTGGACTCACAGGCAATTGGAATTCCAGTCACAGGACTGGAATCACAGTGAGCTGCCATGTGGGTGCTGGCAACAAAATTAGGTTCTCTGCGAGAGCAGGAGACACTCCTACCCGCCTGGCCTTCTCTCTTACCCCCTCAAGAAATTGGGTCTCATTGTGTGGCTCAAACTGGCCTCAAATTCTGGCCTCAGCTTCCTGAGGTGTCGGGACTACCAGCTGTGCCACTGTTGCCAGTCACAATTACGTGATCTCCACGGTGTCCACAAACAACAGGGAGAGAAAAATAACGCCCTGGTGAACTGTCACAGTGATCAAACCAATTGTGGGCAAAACTGAGGTTCAATCTGGGCTTTGACCCTGCAGTCTGTGTCCATGCTATTACGTCCACTCTACCCACCGCTGCAAAGTAACTGGACACGGGTCAACATTAATGCTTTAAAATACAGAATTGTAGGCTGTAGGAAATCAAGATAAGATCTCAAAGACCCGGCAACAACTCACTGCCACACCCTGCTCCAATCTGCATTCACTCCAGCGCTTTTCTTCCTCTTAACTGACAAAGGTTTTTAGAAATCCCCATTCGTGATGGTACTGCTAACACTGGACCATACAGACACAGTCCCTCAGGCGACCTGCTGAGGCTCCAGGGGTCTGTAATCCCAGTACCAGAGAGGCTGAGGCAGGAGGATGGCAAAACCAAGGACTATTTAGGCTACAAATGGAGTTCAAGGCCAGCACACACACACACACACACACACACACACACACACACGCTCACGCACACACACACACACACACACGCACACACACACACACACACACACACATGCACACCCACTCCATGTGTATATAAACTACTTTTCTCAGGTGAGCACTCTCCGAAGCTGCAGGCATTACTTTTCCAGCCTGGCTGGTAGCGCTCTTACTCCCTGAGCTTGTGGAGGGCAAAGTCCTGCAGAGAGACCATTGTTTCCTTTGCTGATAGCATGAGCTCAGCTATAGACATGGCAGGTCTCCAAGACCAAGCAACAGGGGCAAGTGCGCACTAGGCGGTATCGGGAACCAGTAAGCCGCAGCAGGCATTTGTAACGCAACAACAGAAGTCCTGCCTTTTCTGGGAAATGCCTAGTGTACTGGGCGCTTGAGTGCCCGATGGGTTTTGAGGCCCCAGTAAGTGTCTGTGGACGGGTGCCAGGAGCAAACAATCATTGCAGCCACAAAGCACTCAATCCATATCGAGCTCTCTGCCGAGAACGCCTGGACTAACCCGATGACGGCCACCTGGGAGGCCCTGGGGACGTCCAGCCGCAGTGCTGCCCAGGAGGCCATATGGACTCTACACCTGGCTGTCAAACACTGATACAGGTGTCCACACATCCTTTCAGGGACTCATCACTGCACACTAGCGACGCAGGGGTTGCTGTGCTCCTGCATCACAGATAGAAAGCGAGACAGGGGAAGGGACGATCAGACATCTGCCAAGGACTGGGTGAACTCAAAACCGTTTATCTGCTCCCAAAGCACTTCTTTCTTAAAATTTTATTTATTTAATACTATTTGTTTGTTTGTTTGTTTGTTTGTTTAAGACAAGGTTTCTCTATGTAGCCGTGGCTGTCCTGGAACTCATTCTGTAGACCAAACTGGCCTTGAATTCAGAGATGTCTACCTCTGCCTCCTGAGTGCTGGGATTAAAGGCTTGCATCACCACCGCCCTGTTCAAAGTACTTAACTGCCTCTCTGTACTGACATCAGAGCATTCGGGCACCGCTTACACCAGGTGACCTTAGTTAGAAGGACCCTGCCAGGAGCTAGTCATTCAAGATTCAGCAGTATTAAGTATGCCAGGTTTTTGCAAGGCCCTGGGGCTTGACTGATAAACGATCCACGGAACATGCCCTACTGGAAGTTTGGAAAAAATGTGGGCACGTGCCAGGACTTAGTTATCACTTTCAGTTGGGTACATTGTGCCCCACACCAAGGTTCCTGGCCAATGGGACAACTGTATTCTAAAGCACAGCCTGTAATCCACTGAGCCACATGCCCGTAGAGGCGTATCCTACAGAAGTAAACTTAAATATGTCCCCAGAAGTAGTTTATATTGTATTTAGTAATGTCCACATTCTCTAATCGTGCATGACAGTGACATTCTGAAAGTAACCCCTGAAAATAGCCTGCAGTGTCCAGAAAACATAAATCTATACGAAGCAGATTCTGGAAGTCAACCTCAAGTGTAAAATGAGTCTGGTCTATGGCTTTGGTTACACCCCCTTTCGGGGGCTCCTAGTCAGTTCATCACAGTTTAAAAGCTAAGCTCCCCAACGGAGTGCCTGAAAACTGAAACCGGTGAGTCCCGAAGGCAGCGTTCCACCTCAGCAGGGATCTTGGCCTGAGCACAAGTCATACACCCCTGACCTCTGAACCCCAGGAGACCTGAGAGGAATGCTCTATAGAAGTGACAAGAAAAAGAAGCCAAGGCTATCGATTAGACATCGCGCTGCCGTTCACAGGAAGAGTCTGAGGGAACTCCTTGGTAGAGGAACAAGTTCTTTGTGCTCCCACAGCCCTCGTGGGAGAGGTCCTGTTTGTAAACCTCACCAAAGCCCTAACCGTTCCCTCATGACAGGTGAGGACACAGAGCGCCAGGGAAACCAAATAATTAGGCCTGGGTCACGAGGCTAAGAAGAGGCGGCCCTCGACAGTGTCAAAAGTAAGTCATTGGCGACTCAAAGACACGTGATCAACCGGTAGCCTGGCTTAGGAGTCCCCTGCTTTAAGATAAAGGAAGTGAATAAGGACAGGAAGGCGGGAATCGAGACCCCCGTCAAGCCCCGCCCCCCCCCGGGGGGGGGGGGCCCCGGCGGGAGAGAGTGAAATCTCAGAGGTGACAGAGAAATACAGCTCTGCCCCAGAATAAACAGAGCTCAGCCGCTAAAGTCAGTCCGCCAGCCAAGGAAACACAGGGCATCTCTTGGCATCTCCAGGATTCCTCGGACTGTTGAGGCAGCTCAGCCACAGCCAGGTCTCCGGCCTCCCGACATGCAGGCCTAAGCACTTCCACCACGCTGCATCACACACAGGCCTTTGTCTCCCTGGCAACCGCGACGCCGTAAACAGCTGTGGCCAGCGACCAGTTATTTAGCACATGCCACTCCGCAGCCATCTTAGTTTGGTGACTTCAAGGAAACACTGCCCTGGTCAGGTGAGCTTAAGAGGAATGGAAAATTCCAGGTCAGTGAGCAACACACCCTCCAGGTATCCTTTCTTCATCAGCCCTGCCTTCGGAGGCTCCCGGGCCCTTCAGTCCCACCACCTGTTAATATTTCACTCTGGGAAGGCTTTCGGGAACAAAGAACACAGCACTGGCCTTGAGGGGCCAAAGGTAGGCAGTCCAGGGTGCAGCTCATAAATGGGAAAAGCGCAAACGTGCTTTGAAGGAGAATGCTGCAGCTTGGCCTCCTGGGAACAACGGGGCTGCTATTCATAGAAAAGCCTGTGATTTGCATCTGTCTGACATTTGAATTAGGCTCACCTAACTAACTGCCTTCCCCACAGATGTGAGTCACGCTCCTCCTTCACAAGCGAGGAGTGGCCGGGGGTGGGGGTTGGGGGGGGCAACGGAGAATGCTTATCTGGGCATGCTGAGAGAAATGTAGGGGGGTCAGGAATGCCACGTGCAAGAAGGTCTCCTTCCCCATGGCAAGGAGAGCCTATGATCCAGAGAACTCACCTGAGAGTCACTGCAGCTGCCCCCCCCCCCCCCCCCGCTTCAGGTGCCTCGCTGGGTTCTTCTTAGTGTTCCTCCCAGTCCAGGTTTTTGACAAGCGTGGGAGATGATTCGCAGCGCTCCCCCTTGGTGGCAGGGGCTGGCCTTCCACCCCTCTACCCCAGGATTTCACATTCCCGGCATACATGTACGTCTGCTGAGCTCATATGGCGAACACTGAGGGGCTGAGGTCACAGGTGAGGAAAGCTGGTAGGATCACCCCCCCCCCAAATCCTGGCTATTCGTTATTAACCCTTCACCCACACTCCCGGCACCTGGAAAGTCAGAGGTTCTAGTGTGGTTCTGAGCTGGGGGCAGGGAAGAATCTGGGCCCACTGTAGTCCAAAGTGGCCAGGGCAGTGGTTCTCAGCCTTCCTAATGCTGGGACCCTTTAAGACAGTTCCTCGTGTTATGGTGATCCTCAACTATACAATTATTTTTGTTGCTGCTTCATAACTGTAATTTTGCTACTGTTACCAATCATGATGTGAATATCTTACATGCAGGATATCTGATATATGACCCCGGAGAAAGGGTCCTTTGACAAGCCCCCACCCCGGAGTCATGACCCATCATGTTGAGATCAGGCCAGGAATTTAGGCCTTACAATGCCCATCTTTCAAGGATTCCCTGGAAGGAGTAATCCCAGTGCCTGACTGGGAACCTAGCTCCACTCCCAAGAATCCTGATGGTTCAGGTTCATCTTGGGCTCAGGAAAAGAACTCTAGCTCTGTACCCCAAAGAAAGTGACCTCAGGAGTCTCTGAGACCTGAGCACCAGCATAGGTGAGGTTGGTCCTCCGTGGGGCCACTCCACGCCCCCTGAACTGCCTGCCTCACCAACCCGTGAGCCCAGAGAACACGAGAACGGCCAGTGTACCACGAGGCTGGGGCCACGGCCGTGTGCATCTCTACACGCCTCAGCTGTGCTTTGATGGTTCTCATCAAGATGAGAAACACCCTAGATGGACTGCCGTCTCAGATGGAAACACGCCACGCCTGTATCTCCATGTGCTGGTGCACAGCCAACACGTGAGATAGGAGTCCATGTGCTCCCTGCCCTTGAACCTCTGCCTATGGCTGCCAGGTTGCTTCTCCAGGGCCAGAGCCCTTAAATCTCTGCTTTTCTGAAGGACATTACGCTGCCACTGATCCAGACTTAAGCATGTCACCGAGGCTATCGGTTTGAATTTTCTAATTGGAGAAAACTTTCAGAGTGTGTCAACCCAATGCTACCATAGAAACAGATGTGACCACCTAATGTATCCGAAATGGACATAAAGGGACAACGCTATGACACATGCTGTGATATGTGAACTGAAAAACCTTTCACCCTCAGGAAATATGTGGCCCACTTAGAAATGATATTTTTCATCAGGACAGATGATCCAGGAGTGGTGAACCATGACATGGAAGTCGCCTTCCAAGTCTGGCAAATCGCCAGTCCATGCAATGCTCATGGGTCCTAGCATGTGACAGGCACTCAGCCCTCACGTCATAGCCCAACCAGGCCTGGGTGGCCGGCCATGTATAGAAAACCTATAGTCTTGAGATAGAGTCTAGTAAGTTTCCCGGACTGAAAATGAACTCACTCTGTAGCCTAGACAAGCCTTGAGCTCTCAATCCTCCTGCCTCAACCTCCTGAGTGCTGGACTCATAGGCCTGTGCCACCAGCTGCATCTCACCCACCATCTGCACAGCGCATCCTTGGCAGCACCCTTCCACTTACACAGGGCTCTGCACAACAGCTGGGGTAAGTTCCCAGACCGTATGCTGAAGCCTTGGCTGTCATCTTGGGACACTATTGGGACTTGGTAGAACCTCTGGGAGGTAGAGCCTGGTGTTAGGAAATCAAATCACTGGGGTGTTTCTGCAGAGGGTGTGACCTTGGTCTCTTCCTGTTTCTCACTGTTGCCTGGTCACCATCAGCTCCTTTACAGTACGCTCTTGCCATACTCTACCTCCTGACAGGCCCAAAGCCATGGGGGCATGAATGGAACTTGCCATCCGCTGATTCAAGCGTTCTGCTTTCTTACAGAACCACCTGAAGGGGCGGGCACTACCCTAGAAGCTCCCAAACTCTAGAACTGAAAGTGAGCAGATGATATCCCCTCAGGTAGGGAAGACGGACATGGTTAGGAAAGGTTTTCCAGAGAAGACAGTGGAAAGATGGACAGGCCTAGGAGGTCAATACAGTATCCCACGCCAGAGGGCAGTAACGAAAAGCTTCACTTGAGAGTGAAACCCCGCCCCCCCCCTGCTGTTACTGTAGCGGGGTGGCTCTGAACTTCAAGGGCAGGGTGACACCTTTGGCCAGGGCAGCTTCCATCTCAGTCAGCTGTTCCCGAGGACTTTTCTTGTTTGAAATAGCTGCCCAGATCCGTTTCCCTATCAGTTCCAGAGGCCAGAGATGAGAGAACAGGCTTTGTCCACGTGCAGGGCGGAAGGTGTAACCGGTAAGCTTGGCCCACGCTCAGCTCAGTGGGCAGCCTCTGGCCAGGAGCCAGGCCCGACCGCACCCTAACGTCCAACCAGGAGAATTTAGACAGACCCTACCTAGCTCTTTTCCCCCACGTGACTAAAATCCTTATCATCCTAAAAGTTGTAAAAACGCCAAAGTTTAACCTTATTGAAGTCACATTGTTCTGGTCTTGGCAACCCTAATGGGATTTTACCAGTTGGCCTCCAATGGAGTCCTTGACCAGTCCAGTGTCTGCCAGCGTCCATGACGGATGACCTCCAACGTCAGGGACTGCAGCCCACCCGCACTCTCAGCCTCCCGTGACCATCCAGCGCCCGGGTCACTGTGGCCTTTCATGAAGGCCTTCTTTCTGTTTTGTTACTCATGGAAACGGAGACAGTTCCAGGCTCCTGGGCCCTGGGGAGGGCAAATGAGCGCTCACCAGCTGATGGTGTTTTCTTCTGGATTAATGAAACACAGCGGAGCGTTCAGCTGCCATTGCAGTGATTAATATGTCAGATTGGTGTCACAGGAGAAGCAAGCAAGGAAAGTGAAGTTTGAACAGAAGAGGAAGAACAGAGACCCAAAGAAGGAAAAGGGAAAAGAAAGGAGTAGGTGTTGGGAGGGCACCATTCCTTGGACTGGCGCCACCAGGCTGAGCCCCAAGGGAAAGGTCGAGGTCTCTCTGCCTCATACTGATGGGAAAGAGGTCTTGTTATTGAAAAAAAGACTCTAGGACACTTCTTAGCTTATCCGGCCACATCCTGGGGTATGAGAGATGTGGAGCACTTCAGGGGTTCTGCTTATTTGTTTGTTTTTTTGGTTTTTTTCCCAGAAAAAAAAATGCACAAGCGGAAGTTTTGCTTCCAGGGTTAAGAGGTTCACTCAAAGTCCCTAGCTCTCCAGACACTAGGATGAAGCTGCCTTTCAGCTGGGCATGCTTTGGCCATGGCACCTCTGTCTGCAATCCCTCTGTAATACTTGTCAGTGACAATTTGGGGAGGGGACATTGATATCCTCTCCTGAACCCCGTGGGGCCCAATTCTCCCCCTTCTCCCTATAGGCTACAGAGGGGAGGTCCCCTCACCACTCCAGGCTATTCACAGACCCATATGAAGCACCGTCCCAGTTGTCTGTGAAGGCACAATGGAGTCATTAAGACCTCAACATTGGTGGCTGGGGAGATGGCTCAGTGGTTAAGAGCATTGACTGCTCTTCCAGAGGTCCTGAGTTCAATTCCCAGCAACTATATGGTGGCTCACAATCACCTGTAATAAGATCTGGTGCCAACTTCTGTCTGCAGGGACACATGCAGGCAGACCATTGTATACATATAAATAAATAAATCTCAAAAAAAGGAAAGACCTCAACATTGACGGTCTGAGAGACTGACATTTGTCCAGGAGGAACGACACTAGTGATGTAAACAAATCATCCAAACATAGATTTCTCTTCCCTGCTAAATACTGTCAAGCTGTGTTAGCGTTAGCGTTCTGCAGCTAGGTCTATGTGAATGCCATTGCCTACTGAAATCGCCTGTCAGTCTCAACGGGGCCCTGGATTTCCTCTCCCTTCTGCTTTAAGCCTCTAATCATGGGCCAGGATGATTCAAATGACCTGAACCCTAAGGCCTCACCCGTGGACATATGCTTCTCTAATCAGACAGAAAAATTCGAGTTTGACACTCCCTTAAACAATCGGTCACGGGAAATTGCACAGAGGTCAACGATCTCTAACTTATGTGATCAGCTGAGGGAAGGATTGGCCAATCCATGAGTTTTATTTCTGACGGTATTTTCTAAAATTTCACCTTGGAATGATTTTAAATGCATGAAAGGTGGCAGAAAAGAGTTGCAAGGATCATAACCGATAAAGGGTGAAAACTAATAAGGTGACCACCAGTAGATGAATGGATAAGGGCATGGCAGACTCCGACACTGGAATATTGCTCAGTCTTGGTGTGGCAGCATGCTCTGCCATATACCACATCACGAAGACATTAAGGTAAGCGAAAAAAGCCAGGAGATGGAACAGACACTATCGAAGAGCTTGAAAGTGGAATGAACAACTACCAGGAGTTGCCAGGCGGTGGTGATGCATGCCCTTAATCCCAACACTCGGGAGGCAGAGGCAGGCGGATCTCTGTGAGTTCGAGGCCAGCCTGGTCTACAAGAGCTAGTTCCAGGACAGGCTCCAAAGCTACAGAGAAACCCTGTCTTGAAATACACAGACATAGACACACACACACACACACACACACACACACACACACACACACACAAAGGAGTTAGATGGAGAACTAGGACCTAACAATTATGAACTTTAATTTAATTTGGGGGTGGGGATTACAAGGTTCTGGAGATGGTCGGTAGTGTTCGTTTCAAAACAATCTGAAGATGGTTTATTATTGCCATCTGTGTTTGTTAGTCAGCTCCCCATCGCTGTGACACAGGCCCGCGAGAGTCTGCTCATAAGGAAGGAAGGTCTGTTTTGGTTCACGGTTGTGGTGAGCCAAGGTAGTCCCCAATGAATGTTCTAGGCACAGCCATGCCAAGAACACCAAAGCCTTAGACCAGTGAGAATTGGCAAGTCTTCCTCTGGTCCAAGAGTGAATGAGCCATTGGCCAGTGTGTATAAACCAGCAACTGCAGCTTCTTCCTTCCAAATGACTGCAGCTTCAGCCTGCTCCCCTCCAGAGACCTCCCACCAGGCTAGCCGACCCCTCTTCCTGTACTGCATGTAATAAAAACACTAAGGTCCTGGGTTGTTGTGCATAGTAGGTGCATGCCATCAGATCAAGCATAGCCCACCTGACCCCTGTTTTTCTGTACATGTGTCTATGTATCTGTCCTTTCTTCATCCTGTCACTGCCCCAGTCAGGTTTCCAGGACCAAGCCATGCTGGACACAGTGCAGGGCATCAGAGCTTCCTTCATTAGACTTTGCCCATGACGAGAGTGGATGAAGAGACTGCTCACGAGACTGGGGAGATGGCTCTGTGGTCAACAGCACTGGATGTTCTTCTGGGGGACCTGAGTTTGAGCCTCAGCACCCACATAGTGGCTCACGACTCTCTGTAATTCCAGTTCCAAAGGATTTGGTATACTCTATGGCCTCTACGGTACCAGGCATACATACAGGCAAAACATCCACACACATAAAAAGTAAATTAAAAAAAAATGTTCACCTTGTGGTGAGCAGGAACAGGGAACTAGGAAAAGGCAGGGTCCCAGCATCCCTTGTCACGACACACCTCAGTGACCTGACTTCTCTACATCAAGTTCCACACTGCCACAAAAAGGTTTTACCATGTCCCCACAGTGTCACAGTCTGGGGACCAAGCCTTCATCACATAGGCGTTTGCGGGACAGTCAAGATCCAATCTATAGGGCTATGCATGTAGAACTAACTAAAAGGGTAAGTTTTATGTTACATGTATTTACCACAGACATACAAACACACAGAAAAGTCCCTGTACATTCCTCACCCGACCCCTCAAATGGTATTACCTTGCAAAACCACAGTGTCATTCAAACCAGGAAAAGATGTTGCTGCAATCCATAGCTCATTCAGACCTGGCCACTCTTACACTTACACACTCCTGTGTGCACGAAAAGAAATTGCGCATCCCTCTTTGTGCCTGCACTCTTCTGAGACTTAACCACCTGTTTCTCAGTGCGTACCCACTTTCAAGATCCACAACCATGTCACCATTACAGAGCCAGCTGCCTGTTGCCACACCCGGCCCCTCCCCGACAATTCCTAACTGCTAAGAGGATCCTCGCTCTTCATCTCTAGAATTTCAAAAGAGAATAGAGCGAGATCAAAAAGTCTGTGACTTTTGAGGGCTGACTTTCCTCGCTCAACAGAATTGCCTTGAGATACATCCAGGCTGCCAATAATAATAATAAATATATGCCAGTATTTTGTCATTTTTATTGTTAAATTATATTCAAGGAGGCGGATGCAAATTTTTAATTATATTAGTATATCCAAAATTAGCTTTGGAACTCAATTTTCTGACCACACCGAGATCATTGGTAAAGGAATTTGATTCCACATTGCCGCTGTAGGAATCGCTGACCCCGAGGTCACCTGCACATCCCCAACCACACAACCTTTGTCTCGGACCTCGGGTTGTTTCCTTGAGGGATAGAGTACTCTGGGGAAAGCAGTTCAGGCTACAGACCCTGCCGGGCAGGAAGGGACGGCAAGGGAGCCTGTTTAGGCAACAGTTTCTTCTTTCCTGATAACCCTACCTTGGCTACTATGAGTACTGGGATCCTTTAAGAAAAACAGTAAGTGTCAGGCCTGTGGCTCAATGACAAAGTGATAGCCTAGCATGCACAGGGTCCTGGGTTCAATCCCCGGCATTTGTGTTTAAAACAGCACACTAGTTCTCAGAAGAGAACTTGTATATCACCACCACGAATTACAGTCCGAGTTTCACTGGGCTAGGACTTAGCCGTGCCCCTGACTGTGCCCTCAGTGTGCCCTGCACCCAGTGAACTCTGCTGCGTGGGGTGGTATTATTGAAACAGGCAGGGAAAGTCAAGGGGGCAGGGCTTATAAAGACGACTAAACCCAACAAGCAAGAATTAACTTCCTATCAATGAAAAACCCGTTTTCTTACTCTGGGACAACAGGTGGAAGCCCAGAGTGCTCTGGGTGGGAATGATACCCCCTTTCCTTCCTGCTGTCTCACTGCCCCAAGACCCAGAGAAGCCCATGTTCTGAGGGGTGTGCAGTTTCCAGGGAGCAGGATAGGGAGAAAGGCCAGGCTGGGTGGGGGTGGGAACAAAGGCAGAGAGAGGGAGTTCAGAGGACCTTCAGCCAACTAGAAACACAGAAGCAGAACCAAGGTCCCACAGGCCACGGTGGTACACACCTGTAATCCCAGCACTCAGGGGCTGGACAATAAGATTGAAATGAAATAGCAAGATTCTATCTACACACACATACAGAGAGAGAGAGAGAGAGAGAGAGAGAGAGAGAGAGAGAGAGGAGAGAGAGAGAGGAGCTGGAAAACTTGGGAAATTGGAGTAGGAGGTAAGTTCCAGGTCAGCCTACACTACAGAGTGAAATACTGTCCGAAAAAAAAATTAATTTAACTAGCCCTGTCAGTCCACTGCATGAGCATCAGAACAGGGGCCAGGGAGATGGTTCATCAAAGAATTTGTACTGCTCATCCAGAGGACTTGAGTTCCATTCCCAGCACTGGGTGGCTTACAACCACTTGTAACTCCAGCTCCAGGGGATCTGACACCCCGTTCTGGACTCTGTGGGTACCTGTACTCACATGCGCACACACATAGACATACACATATACACACAATTAAAAAAAATCTTTAAAGAAAGAACAGCTGGCACAATGGCTCACGCCTTTAATCCCAGCACCCGGGAGGCAGAGGCAGGCAGATCTCTGTGAGTTCAAGGCCAGCCTTGTCTACAGAACGAGTTCCAGGACAGCCAGGGCGAAGTAAAGAGCTAGGTTTATAGGTCTGAGGCACCATGCCTGGCTTTTATGTGGATGTTGGGGACCTAATTCAGAACCTCATGTTGTTGGCGAGCACTTTACTTACTGAGCCACGTCCCCAGGCCCCTGGCCTTTGTACTTCTTATTTAAAAATAGCCAAGCCCTTTGTCTCCAAGGTAGGCTCACAGCAAAGCCAAACGCTGGCCAGGAAACTGGAGTCAGCAGGATGCTACCTGCAGAGTCAATTTTTATCCAGAATCAGCCTTTGCTTGTGTTAACTTATCACCCGCAGGACAAAATGTGAACCCACTGAGCATTACCGAATCAGATCTCAAGAGCGTCTAGAACGTTGAA